AAAGAAAGAAAGAAAGAAAGAAAGAAAGAAAGAAAGAAAGAAAGAAAGAAAGAAAGAAAGAAAGAAAGAAAGAAAGAAAGAGGAGGGAAAATAGAGGTACATATTTGTGGAGATCACTAGTGTGCAGAGGAAACTAGTCTTCCGGGCTGAGGGCGCCATAGTGACAGAGCACTTGCCCGCCGCAGCAGCACCCTGGGGTAGATCCCAGAACTAGGAAAAACAAAAGCAACCGGATCCCAAGTCAAGCATGGTTGTACACACCTGTAGTTCCAGCACTCTGGGAGGCTGAGGGGAAGACTGCAAGCTCCAGACCGCCTGTCTGAAACAACAAATCAGTCTTCAAATTCAGTAAAACCTCCTGACAATAACACACTACATTTAAAGTGTGTAAGGTCTTAAACACCAAGAAGACAGGTCATTGCAAACGCTCTGATAATGATAAAGAACCAGAAAGTGCAGTGAAGAATCGAATGGAATTGTGTGAGGAAGAGACAATTCATCTAAACAACATTTTATATAATTTGTGATACAAATGCAAAGATTTAAAGATACAATTGAAATGGACTTTATACCATTTACATGTATAGCAGTGTACATTAAACAGTATTTTAAATAGTATGGTTGGTTGGTTGGTGTTTTTTTTTTTTGTTTTTTTTTTAAGTTTTCTGCATGTAGGTACATGCACCATGTGCATGCAGTGCCTATGGAGGCCAGAAGAGAGCATCAGACTTCTTAGAACTTGAGTTAAATAATTTTTCAAAACTCATAATCAAGTTGGAAGATACATGATACACACACACACACACACACACACACACACACATTTTTTTTTGTTTTGTTTTGTTTTTTTTTCGAGACAGGGTTTCTCTGTGTAGCTTTGCGCCTTTCCTGGAACTCACTTGGTAGCCCAGGCTGGCCTTGAACTCACAGAGATCCGCCTGCCTCTGCCTCCCGAGTGCTGGGATTAAAGGCGTGCGCCACCAACGCCCGGCTGACACACACACATTTATATATGCACACATATGAATATATGAATGTATGTGCATGGAGGATTCAAGAAAGCTTCCCTGGGGGATTATAATCTTCATCCACCACAATCTCCCCTCTCTAGCTCTGTAACAACTACATGGAAAACAAGGTCTCCCAATTATAAGGATTACTTAGAGTGTATATTTAAAATACAAATCTCTAGCTTTCCACAATTTTGATTCAGGAAGGATGAGTTAGGGGTGGGAATCTGTCACATTAAACATCCTAGGAAATGGTTAAGGCCTAGACAATGAAATCAGACAGGACTCTGTGGGCTACAGTGATTGTTCCTCACACACTGAGCCCCAGGTAAGCCCCTTTCCCACTAGATGGACGGACAGAGGTCTCTCCAGGTGAGCCACGTCTCTGCACTGCTTTGCAGGGAGGGGAAGCAGAGCCTAATTACCGCCTTACTAAAGGTCCAGGATCACCACCCGCTTATGGCTGTCTCACTGAAGAGGGTTGAGACCCTGGAGCTCATCTTCCCAGTGTTGGAAAGGAAACCGCAGGCAGCCTGGGGAGGTTAGTCTGGGTGGAGGTCTGATTGTCCCGCTGTACTTGAGCAACTCCAGAAGAGCCCCCACCCCCCATTCCTAAAAAGTCTACTCATTTTATGATTCTGTTTAGAGAAATTAGAATAATTCATCTGCCCCAGGAGCAGGACGGCTGGGGGTCAGGCAGCGGGGGAGACATTAATGGCTCCACCTGCAGTGTGGCGGTCAGCCATCTGCCATGGGAAGCCAGTCTTGCTGGGTCTTGGGGGTATCAAAGCAGCACCAAAGGGCAAACTCATGGATTCTCAATCCTGGAAGAGATCAATGTCATCACAGGCAACAGAGAGCCTCAGACGTCAGATATGCCTTCATGAGCCAGTCAAGTCACAGTACAGCTCATGGTCAAGAATAGTTCTACAGGGGCTGGAGAGATGGCTCAGAGGTTAAGAGCAGTGTTTGTTCTTCCAGAGGTCCTGAGTTCAATTCCCAGTAACCACATGGTGGCTCACAACCATCTGTAATGAGATCTGGTGACCTCTTCTGGCCTGCAGGCATATATACAGGCAGAACACTATACATAATAAATAAAAATTTTAAAAAAGAATATTCCTACAACCCTAACAAGCATGTCCAGGTTTGGAAGTGTGGTGTGCCGAGGACTCCAAAGGCTGGAGCACTTGTCTATTACGTGTGAGGAGGCCCTAGGCTGGACTGACGCTGAAGGAAAATGGGGCTCAATGAAAGGATAAATGGAAACTGGGCATACACCTTTTATTCCAGCACTCAGAGCACAGACGCAGGCAAACCTCAGAGTCTGAGGATAGCCTTGTCTACATTGTTCCAAGGACAGCCAGGGCTATATAGTGAGACCATGTCTCAAAGAATAATAATAATAATAATTGTAGCTCAATTTACAAAATGATTTACCTCCATTTGCATAAAATTAGAACTGAGTAATCAAGAGAGGTTTTGCTGAACAGTCAAGGCTGGTTACATTAGCCTGTGGCCCAGCTGCAGAGGGGCCGAGGCAGGAGGATCAGTGCACCCAGAGGTTCAAGACCAGCTTGAGTAACATAGAGACTCCACCTCAAAAGGCTGTTGGTTTTTTTTTTTACTTTTTATTAAATGGATCTAACATAACCAATAAAACAGTGATATATACATATCTATGTATACAAATATGTGTGTATATATGTGCTATACACATATATATGATAAATATCATTTAACTATGAAAGGCCATACTACTTTCAACAAGAGACCATTCTGCTCCCAGAAAACTAAGCTGTGAGTCTGTTACCAAGTCATCAGCATACAAACATGCTTTTAGGTTGGTAGCTGACATCCCTGAAGGGTGGGCTAGCAGTGGTTATAAATGACGCATATCAACCGTGAAACACAGGGTGTGCTTGATTACAAACTACGCCAGTCTGCTTGGTGAGTGCACACTGTATTTTAATCGTCACAACAGCCCCGTTTTCATGAACTCTGTGTAAACCGAGTTGGCATACAGCCCATACATAACAGTATTGCTGTGGCTTCTAGTCATTTCGTATTTAAGGATCCAAAATACATTATGTTCACAAAATAACACTTGGTAAATATTCATCGGCTTTGATTTATGCTCCTTTGAAAGCACTCCATCCTGGTCACTCACACTAATCTCCATGACCACAGTTAGCGAAGATGGGGAGTCAGTCTGGCCACTACACAGAAGCACTTGACTCCAAAAGCAAAACAGGCAGCCCTGCTCTACAAATCTTCACGTTCTCAACTCCTAAAACAAACAAAAATGTTCTAGTGCAGCCACTGTAGCCAGGAGTTTGACCTTTCTGTTTATTGTCACACTTGAGCATAAACACACATCTGCACAATGCATTACGCTAACTCCCGGACCTAAGACAAAACACAAAACGAATGTGAAGATATGTTGCAATTCTAGTCACAGACTCAAAAACCTCACCATGCAGATGTAACTCCTGCATCTTTGGAGGTCATTGTCACACAAGGCTTGAGGGAGTAGTCAGTATTAGCATATGAGTAACTACAGAGTGCATTTATGATCAGGAACGTGGGCCCTAGGTCATAGGATTGTTTCTGCCTATCCCCCAAAGAATCGCATGCTCTTGAAGTGATAGGCTTTTAAGGCACATTTCAACAAAAAGCCATTATATAACCAGCTTAAAGATGGAAGCTCCACGTCTACCTGGTAGTTTTATGTGGTTTACCAGATAGGCAAGTGTCTTATCTTGAAAATAAAGTCTTATTAAAAACTCGATTCTCTGTCTGTTCAAAGAGAAATACTTTGTAAAAACTACTAAGAAAAGGAGCCAGGATACTAGCTTAGTAGAGAGCTGCCCAACATGCATGAAGCCCTGGATTCAATCCTCAGCACTGTACAAACCAAGCGTGCTGGTGTATCCCCATAATCCCAGTACTTCAGGAAAGTGGAGGCAGGAGGATCAGAAGTTGGAGATCGTTCTTGGCCAGCCTGGGTTACCTCAGACCTTGTCTCCAAAAAGCAAACAAACTGTGTGCTCTCCTCTCTCTCCTTCTCTCTGGTGTGTGTGGGATTACTCTTAAGAGCAGCCCACCTCCATCCAGCCTGTTGGCAGAGACCTGTGAGGGAATAGCTCTGAAAATTAAGGAGAACAGAAACTTCTCTGGGACTCCAGGCTCCTAACAACTCATTCGGGTCTCTGCACAGGGATTGTAAGGAAGGAGCCATGATGCCTTAATGATTACTAGAAACCCCCTTAAGACGGCACAGACTACTGGAGGGCTCAGATCACAGCTTCAGTCATCCATTTCATTCAGTTACCAGCTTCAGAAGACCTGCCATAGCAAGATGGCGCACACCTTTGATCCCAGCACTTGGAGGAAACAGAGACTTGAGACGTGGATTTCTGAGTTCAAGGACAGCCTGGTCTACATAGTGAGTTCCAGGACAGCCAGGGCTATAGAGACCCTGTCTCAAACAAAACACATACACCCTAAAAACAAACACAGACAGACTTGGGGAAGGGGAAGCATGAAGATGGAAGATGACACTTAAAAGTGGGATTGGTGGGGCGGCAGTGGCGCACACCTTTAATCCCAGCACTCGGGAGGCAGAGGCAGGCGGATCTCTCTGAGTTCAAGGCCAGCCTGGTCTACGCAGTGAGTTCCAGGATAGCCAAGACAGTCACATAGAGAAACCCTGTCTTGGTGGGGGGGGAGGAGATGAGCTTTAGGGACAAGTTGCAAGAGCAGCTCTGATGTCCCCAGGAGACTCTGCTTTAAAAAGACCTTTTCTAGTGCCATGCACACCCGACAGTGCTAACCTTTGGAATGGCTGGGTGCAGGGCTAGATTAAGGACTCTCAATTCCCTGTTCATGTAAAAAACAAACAAACAAAACAACGGCTAACTTCTACCTTAGGCTGTCCTTTCCCCCTGGCCACAAGCTTTCCTGTGCCTTCCATCCTGCAGAGCAAGTTGGTAGTAAGCTGAACTTGGCAGGAGCAGGTGGAGGACATGAGGCATAGTGTCACAGATGGAAGCGGGATTCAGGTAACCAACGGAGCCACCAAGGACTAAACTCGATAGTGGAGACCAAAGATCTGCTCTACGCCGGTGGCCACGGTGCATCAACAACTGGTCCTGAATGAAGACTTTAAACACAGCACAACACCAGGCCATTCACAGGAGCCAAATAAAACACAAGCACCAAGTGCATTTAGTCTGAGTGGCCAGCGGCCTACATCCTGGGCAGGTACAGAAGGACCTCCAGAATTTCCATGCTGTTTTTCCCTGTCTCCTCTAACAACATTCATAGTTCTTTATACTGATTGGCATCATTTTAGAAATCTGGTCCCAAAGGTTCATTAGAATAATACAGCAAAAAGAAATCACCTATCTAAATAAAGTGACTTCAAAGATGTGTTGAGGTAAAGAGCTTCCTAAAGACGCGTAAGTAGGGAGGCATGGCCACGCGGGCACAAACTTAGATGTAAGCCTGGCACTAACATTTCCTACAAAACTCATTACCAACAGGAGGAGTTCTTCCTGCTCCCAGCCCTGACCCACTCCTGCTGTACTGAGAAATGATTCCCCCCCTCGATAATTGGTAGCAAAGATTCCCCAGTTTACAAAAAGTCATTAACAGTGTGTTACTTTGGATTAATTTCCGACTGCCACATGGACTACAGTATGCACGTCCTCGACACCATGTACAGAAAAGAGTTTAGAAAAGTCATCTTATCAAAGTTAACCTCAACGAGAAAAAAACATGAAAAAGGTGCAAAATATGTACAGTTCCTGGCAGTTCTCACACGGGATTTTTCTATCGACATAAACGTTTACATTTACATAATGAAAGTACAGTGGGGTTCACTTTATTGTTATTGTACAGGTTTCTGCTCCGAGGTGCTTATTTTGTTTTAAAAAGACGGTATTTTTTTCCTTAACAAATCTGTCAGTGTCCCAGGCTCCCCCTTCCTTCCTGTAGCGCCGTGTGGCTCGGCACCCTCGTTGCACATGCATGCGTGGGTTCGGCTCCCCTACAGCAGTCCTCTAGGGGTCCCGTTGGGAGTAGTCCCTTTCTTCTTCTGCAACCGGCTCTGGGCTTTCCGGGATTTCACCATTTTCATCCTCACCTCAAAAACTTCATGGATGGCCTTCCGGAAGCAGTGAAAATTATAGTCAATGAGGCCTGCAGGAGAAGACAGAAACATTTTTAAACACACGAGAAACAATCTGTCGTTCCTGTCATCCGTCGCCAGTAGGGGGCAGCAGAGGCGCAGCCATCATGTAACAGGCCTAGGTCTCAAGAATGTCAGGTGCTCTTGCTGAAGACCATTCCAGAAGCTTCCAGAGGATTTGCCACATTTCCAAAGGTGTCTGTGCCCCAAAAGATCTGAAAAACCACTGAACTGCACTACCTTAATCATTCAGATTGAAGACTAGTTGTAATTAAGATCAATCAGGGGCTGCCAAGACGGCTCAGCAGGTGTTTGCTCTGCAAGCCTGAAGGACCTAAATTCCAGCCCCAAACACAATGAAGGTGGAAAGGGAGAACCAACTCCACACACTCTATAATAGAACAGCAAATTTTATTATTTTCAAAAAGGGCTGGCTTCACAAGCCTGACAACTTAAATTCCCCAGAACCCATATATGAGTTCAAGGCCAGCCAGTGCTACATAGTGAAACCCTATCTCAAAAATAACTAAATAAATAAGGTAGGGAAACAATAGAAAAAGACACCTCCAAACACATACGCATACACACACATTAAATATGAGCTAAGGGGCCAGGTGTTGGTGGCGTATGTGATCCCAGCACTCGGGAGGCAGAGGCAGGCAGAACTTCGAGGTCAAGGCCAGTCTGGCCTACAGAGTGAGTTCCAGGATAGCCTGTCTTGCTGAAACTTCACACATGCCCATTTCCCTACATTCCTTAATTGTAACATAATTAAACTCAACAGCTAGTTGCTAGTTAGTTTACTATATGCTACAAAACCTGCCTGTCATCAGAGATTGTGGTTTCCTAATAATTTACCAAAGATCTCTATGATCAATTCCTACTTAAACTTAGTTGCACACAGCCAGATGTTAAAATGAATGGCGGAAGCTAAAGGTGCAGCTGGATTTGTGCAGTGTGAAGCATTTAACCTTAGAAACGTAGTGGAAACCCTGATATGAATTTATTAGAGATTCCCCGGGAACAGACAGAAAACATGCACTATTCGAGCGGGAAGGACACCGTGGCATTTCTGTGTGGGACACTTGCCCGTGTGCACAAGCTCGTTCCAACTAGAAACTGCAAGACTGTCAGTTCCCAGGTCACATGTTGTCAAAGGGAGCTCGAAGATTATTGACTACTTTTGCAACTTTTCAGTTAATTATAAAATTGGTTCAAAATGAACAAGTTCTCTAGCCTAGCTCAAATGTTCCTAAACTTTAGAACCGGCTGCCAAGTGAAGTTATACATCTGTGTGGCCCTTGTTTCCCTTAACTTCCAAAATCCACAGGCAATAAATACCAAGCAACAGTAAATGTGGGAAGAGATGTAGAATGTGAATGTGAATGTGAATGTGTGTGTGTGTGCGTGTGTGTGTGTGTGTGTGTGTGTGTGTGTGTGTGTGTGTGTGTGTCTATGCACACACGTCAGAGAGCCTAGCTCCACATCTTTCTTTTTTTTAAGTAGATTACAGTTTAGTTACAACATTTCTCCCTTTCCTTTTTCACTAATTGTTACTTCATGTATGTATGTATATACATGTATGTTCCCAAACATAGCCTGCTCTGCTCAATCCATATATGGCCACCTGTATGTGTATTTTCAGGGCTGACCATTTGGCAATGGACAGCCAATGGTGTGCTCGTCCCTGGGAGGAGCACCTCTCCTGCTCCCTAGCTAGCCATCTTTAGCCCCGACAAAGCTGGTGTGTCAGATTTTGACAACGCCGCCTACATTTTTTGGGTCTGAGTAAAATCTCCTGTATAGCGAGTAAGAAGAACACAGTACAGGCCCTGTCTCTCTTCATTTGTTGACAGGGGATGCTCAGTCAGTACTGGGACTGAACCTACAGCACCACGCACGAGAGGCGCCTCTACCACCGTGTCCTGGCCGAGTCCTGCTGCCTATCTTCCCAAAGGAAGCCCATAATCTAGTAGATCAGCTGTTACTCCTTCCAGAGATGGAAATAAGGAACAAAAGATGAACACTCTTCAGAGTTTGGAGAGAAAATGACACAAGTCATTGGGAGACACACAGCCTCAGGGGTGGACATGCAAATTTAAATGAAAAGCAACTTCCCAAAACAGTGAAATTCAGGAGTGATAAGAATAGAGCAAACTGGACATATTAACCATAGAGTCTGGAAGAAATTTTGTTCATAGTCACTGGAAGCCACCAAAACAGGCCTAGCCTTTTGAGCTGAGGAATCCCACCAGTGCTGTTGATGGAGTGGGGGCGGGGAGCAAGTGCCCACAGGATGCTCCCTGGGCACACTGGTCAGCCAGTCTAGCCAAAAGGTGAGTTTCGGCTTCAGTGAAGGACTCTCTGTCTCAAGGGCATAAGGCAGAGTGACCGAGGAAAACACCTGGCCTCTGTCTGCTCTTGGCATCCACACATATGGATGCACACAAAGACACCACATACTATACATGCATACACCACACCTAACACATGCAAATACCACATATACCACACGAATACAGCACATACAACACACATATATACCACATATGCCACACGAATACAGCACATACAACACACACATACACACATATATACTACATATACCACACGAATACAGCAATACAACACACACATACAACACACATATATACTACATATACCACACAAATACACCACATACAACACACACACCACACATATATACCACATATACCACACAAATACACCACATACAACACACACACCACACATATATACCACATATACCACATGAATACACCACATACAACACACACATGCACCACACATATATACCA